CAAACAAGGAGACTTTTCCTCTAATCATCTATTTAGCTCAATAAATTTCCTCAAATTCATACTAATTTCTGTAACATATTTCTCTAATCACAAACGACATTTAAGGCTACGTCACACTTAAGGGTGGGGCTGAGAAAAGTGTTCTGCAGTGTCTGTATGTGCGTCACAGAAAGCAACATGGAGTTTAAATGTAGCTAGCTAGAAAGCTATATCTGAATTTTATAGCTGGCTTGCAAAGGAAGCCATATTATTATTATTATGCTTTTTGCTGTGGGGGAACTGATGCTGCTTTACAAACTAGAGCAGACAGCATAGAGAAGTGGCTCTACGCTGTTCTCCCTCTGATGCTGGAGGACATCCGATTGTGGGTGATTCCCACCCTCTTTCCAGGGAGGCAGGACTTCCAAGAACTTCCTGTTCCTGTGGTGGGAGTCACCCCCATCCTCAGTTCTTTTCCTGCCTCAAGAGGGAGAGCAGCGTTTTTAGGCTTTGCCAAACCTTTGCTTTCATCTTTCCTTTGTCCTCATATTCAGCTGTCTTACTAACCTATGTATCTCACCTATGTATAAAACCTATGTATATATGTACACAACCTATGTATATAATACCTTTATGGAAAGAGAGGAACCAAGAATTTCCTGACTGTGTAGTGATAGTTTATTCCTTACTCTAGGAGCCTAATCATGTTATGAGATTTAATTATGTTTCAAGTGCCACTGCTTTTCGGAGTACCTGAACTGAGGATGGGGGTGACTCCCACCACAGGAACAGGAAGTTCTTGGAAGTCCTGCCTCCCTGGAAAGAGGGTGGGAATCACCCACAATCGGATGTCCTCCAGTCCTCAGAGGAGAAGGACCTCTCACGGTAAGTACCAACGGTCGTTCTCCTGTTAGGACATTGTCACCTGCACATTAGTAAACAATGTCCCTAAAGTGCAGATATTTTCCACTTACAGTTTTACTTCTGTAAACAGAAGAAAACCTGGGGCAGATGAGAACCTTGTAACATCAATTTAACATTTCCCCCTGAGTTTCCAAAGGGTTCCTCCTTGCTGAATGTGTTCATAAGTAAATGTTACAAAAAGCATTAGAAATCTCCATCGATCATTCAAAAGTAATATGTAGCAGTGCAATCCCAAACTGAACTACACCCTTCTAAACCCATTGATTTCAATTGATTTAGTCAGGTTTAACTTTATTTAAAATTATACTGTAAGCCCAATACCAGTGTCCTTGGGGTTCTTCTCTATTAGGGAAATATGGAGCACATAATAAAATCTATACCTTTAGAAACAGTTTCAGAATTTCTGGGGTATGGCAAAGTGGAAGTGAATTGTATAATTTATACAAGTGCTCCTGAGGGACAGATACACATGTTTTTGTGTGACTCTAAGGGACACATACAGAATAGTGCTTATATGACATCAGTGAAAGAAAATGATGACAACTTTGCTAAATGGGTACCTGTAATCAATTTGGCAAAGATATGAAGGACTGCCATGAGAGGTTTAGTTCTGCTTAGGAATAGGCATTTCAGACAGGGTTGCCAGAAGGCCTGGAAAAAATGTCCTGTCCCTTTAACAGAGGCTTAATGTGTGGAAATGAACAGTTTTAGATTTTCAAAGGATGGAGGTAAATAACACAAGCTGCTAAATAACATCCAATTAGGCCTTTATTTAAGGGAAGAAGAAGAAGAGATTGAATTTATACTCCACCCTTCACTACCTAAAGGAGACCCCTTCCCCTCCCCTCTCCACAACAGACACCCTGTGAGGTAGGTGGGGCTGAGAGAGCTCTCTTGAGAACTGCCCTTGAGAGAACAGCTCTGAGAGAACTTGTGACAGACCCAAGGTCACATCAGCAGCTGCATGTGGAGGAGTGGAGAATCAAACTCGGTTCTCCCAGATAAGAGTCCATGCTCTTAACCACTACACCAAACTAGAACATGGCCTTTTTCTCTCCAGGCAGCTGGCAACCCTAGTTCCAGACTTTACAAGGTTCCTCTTGAGACATGAAAACATGGAAAATCAGTTTACCACTGATGGTCATATAAGCAGAAGAAATAAAGATACGTAGATCTTCCACATTTCTGAAAACCTGCTGTGTGTACTAGCATGCAGAATGTATTGGGTAGGTGCACGTCAGGATTGCAGAATTGCTTCTCTATGGATATACCCCACTACATAATAAAGCACTACAGGTTTAAATGCTTTAATTACCCTGTGTAATGATATGTTAACCCCAGAATAATGGCATCATAGCAGAATGATCATGGAAACAGTGATGTTTTCCAGCTTCTCTTACATTCCTTAAGAAATCTGCTAGGTGAAAATTGCTTTTCCATACATATAGAATGGAAATATAATTTCATGTTAATGTTAAATCCACAGTAGATACATTTCTGAGTGGTGTTCTTGCTTTTATTTTGGTTACTGGCCATTTTCAGATTTAAAATTGGGCTGGAGCGGAGGAATGTGATTTTCTTACTTTTGGAATCATCTATCTACACTACATATACAAGGGACTTTAACACAGAAGAACTTCCTAGTCTAACTTTGCAATTCACTGCTTATTATTAGACAATCTATTGCTTTATATACAAACTAAAAGTTTTCATTCCATTTTATTTAAAAACAATTATTTTTACATTTCTAACTTACAAATTACATAAAGAGAAAAAACTATTTGCATTTTAGTTTACATATAAATTCAGACACAATGCATAGATTCGTTCGTTTACAGTAATTTTAGACAGAAGCTTTGATCAGCACTTGTAAGTAACACTATAATACAAAGCTATAATTTTCTGTACTTTGTGTTCACTTATCTAAACAATTTTCCCTTTACCGTAGGGAACTGGCTTCTTAAAAGCACTTATGAAAGCTCCCATGTCCTTGACATAGTGGAATTACTGTAATAGATGGTTTTAAATGAACTGCTTTGTTTTTTTTACATTGACTGTATAGACATCCATATCTTTTGCAACCCTGCCCAAATACTGAGTTCTTATTAAAATATTATGAAAATGTTCTCATAAATTCTTTTTAAAACATGAACCCTACAAACCACAATTACATTCATTAGTTGTGGAAGCATCCTTTTAAAAAAATCAGTTTTAGAACTCATTAAATACAGGTTGCCTGAGGCAATTAACACACTAAATGAAAATACTAAGGTTTAAACCAGTAATTAGTAATCAGACTGGTTGATGTTGATGGGTTGATCCAGGGCAATGAACCAGAGCATGATGCCATGGTTTTGGAGCAGCAATACCAGCTACCATATTTCATCTTGTTCTTCTTTCAGCATGCTTCCACAGAATTACCTCACTCACTCATCCTGTCTCTGCTGCAAATAGCAGAAACTGACAGATTCTGGGTTTGGCAACATTTCATTATATTAAGTTCATATAAACGAAGCAAATAAAAAAGAAAAGAAAACACGAATTTTTAAAAGGTACACCTAAAAATGTGAAGTGTGAATGTGAGGAATCCATGCTTGAAAAGATGCATAACATACGGTACAGATGCACATATTAGGGAGCTATGACTGGCTATGAAATTAGACACGTTGTGACTTTTTTTTGTGACATGTTTGGGTTGGGTCTATCTGGTGTGAGGAGGGACCCAAAGAAATCTTTGTCTGCAACTTCTGGCAGCTCCTGACAGTCTTAAGAGCAATTGAAACTGCAGCGCTTGACACTAAACCGAAGAACGCAACCAAACTGTTAATTTAGAAATCATGTTATTGCATTCAACAAGTACAATCACAGCAGTGGTGGTGGTGCAGGAGCAACTTACTGCTGTTTCTTGTGTCAGCGCAACGGTAAACATTTCTGCATTTTCAGAAATATCAATGTTTGAAATTGGGGACATGTCACACAATTTACATGAAACGCTGGGGTTTTGTCTGGCCCTTTCAGTCCAAAATCACATACCTAAGTCCTTCTAGAGTCTTCTGAGCACATATGAAGCTATTGCATCTGGCACTGTATACACGCAGAACAGCCATATCCATCACAAAAATTCAACACTGGATTAAAAAAGAAAACCAGCTGGTTAGACAAGCTAAAATATCTAACTGAGACAGGAAGTGAGAAGGAATGCGCGGGGGGGGGGGGGATGTGGCCATTCTGGCTGATAGCCCGTCCAGCTGCCCTCTTTCCCCTCAGCCTGCGTCTTCCACTCCTCCCTGCCGTGAACCTCACGGTTTAGGCGCTCTCTGGCCCCACGCCCCATCCCGCGCCTGGCTGCCTGGAGAGAAACGAGCGCAGCAGATACCTCCTCTGGGGGGAGTCCGCGCGACAGTCTTGCAGCTCCTTGAGGGAGGGAAGCGGGGTGGGGAGTCCAATCCTTCTCACCTGTCCCTCGCCCTGGAGGTGGAGACTGGAGCAACTTGAACCCGTCCTTTTACGGGGGGGGGGGGGAGGGGAGAGTGGCAAGGAAGAAAGGGGAGGCGAAGGTGGCCGTAGCCGTCTGCTGCAGACGGGGAGGGATTTTCCAACAAGGAAACAGAAAGTCCGGAAATCGAGAAAGAAGTTGCACCGAGGGGGACATTTCCAAAGACTTTCTCCCTCGGGACATACATTATTTCCCGTTCTGCTTACTCCCCACTGAATTGTGGGAGTAGGATTCGGCTTCATTTATACAGAAGGAAGAATCAGCAGCGGTTCGACTTCATAAAATGCCAAGGACGGGCTAAGGAGCCGGCTGAGTACCGTCCTCTTTTTCCTTTCCACAAAGGGGACAAAAATCCAGGGGGGGGGGGGGGGGATTACTTCAGACGTGGTTTTGCTTTTGAGGGCTGTATCCCGTCCGTTCCCCAACTTTTTTTTCTTTTTCTTGGCGGGGGGAGACTTGTCGCCCCGTTCTTCCTTTGAAACCAACTTCTGGCAGCTGAGGCGGAGCGAGTCTCTCCCCCCCCCTCTTTCTGAGTTTCTCAGAGCTCGGAGGACGCGGGGCGCTACCGAAAGGCTTCTTTTCCTCATGGAAAGCAGCCTCCATGGCTCTGAGCAAAGGGCTGAGGCTGCTGTGGAAGCAGGAGCCCACGCCAAGCGCCCTGCTGGAAGCACGCGGCCGCCAAGACTGCCTACTGTTGGAAGCCGGCACCGTGGCCACCCTCAGTAAGTGCCTCTTCTTAAGGGGCGAGAGGGAGGGAAGGGGAGGGAGCGAGATTTAGCACGCACTCCTGCTGTGTCTACCCGTGGGCAAGGATGCCTTGGAGGCAATTTCTACTTTTAATAGGTGCGGCGTACTGGTCACTTGGTTCCACGGGAGTCAAAAGAAAAGTGGCGGGAACGGAGCTTTCGCTTTAAATTACACCACGTGGCGCCAGCTTTTTTAAAATCAAGAGATTTTTGCTCCTTCCTCTGTGACCTCAGGCCCCACCTCCTATCATCACTTCCTGTGAAGTCCTCCACTATAGTAAAAGTAACTTGGCGTGGTAAATCACTTGCTGTCAGCTGCTTAGCAGTTCCACCCCCTTTTCCCCTCTAGCTTTTGCAGACTTGAGTACAAAGCACAAACAGGAGACCGTTGTTGATAGTAAGTGATGCTATGTGGCTGGTGGGCTACATTCAGCTTTGCAGATCAGAAGTTGTGCAGGTCTATCCTGAAGAAAACCAGGCTAAACAGTTTGATATTTGTATGGCTTTTGTTTGGACAGTGTTACTGAGATGCAAGGAAAATAAAAACAGGAACATGTTGCAGAAATTCAAAATTCCACGTGAAGGTCATGTAACTTCTATTCTGATGTGCATTATCACGCAGTCTGCTTTTAATTACATTGAAAATTCACACACATATACTTTCTAAAAGTCTAAAATCAGGATTATCACATGCTAAAAAAGTGGGCCCAGCTTTGTGTTAGCATGCTCAGTGATTTCAGTGGTTCTTGCTTCCCAGTACTGTGGAAGAACTGTAGCACCCATTCTGGCTGCTATGGGGTGAGAGAGAGGGGGGAAGGCTCTGAGGCAAGGGTGTCAAACATACGGCCCATGGGCTGGAACAGGCTGATCCAGGGGTCTTATCCAGCCGCAAGCAACTGATTACCTTTATTGCCAGTTGACAGAGACTACATTATGTCGCTGTATACTGTCCCAGTGTTAGGCTGCGATCATATGCACAATTAGACCCGAAATAGGTGCAAATGCTGGGCGGATTTAAAGGGTGCGATCAGACAACAATAATCTGGGAAGCACCCCACAGCCATCGGCAACCTGTTCTGCTCCACCGCAGAAGTGGAGTTAAAAGACACCGGGGAAAACCTGGTAGTAAATGGGTTGCGACTGGCCATGGACAGACTTTCCCGTGTCTGATCACTCCAACTGCTCTCATGGTGTTGGGATGGTCTGATCAGGCCATCCTGACTCCATGCTGTTGTCCCCCCCCCCTTTGGCTGTATGCGCATCATCGCAAACTCCATAGGGAGCCCTCAGTGCGGAGGTGCAATTCATCGGTCCCTCATTTAAGCGCATGGGGAAAAAACGGCACACAAAAACACCAACTCACCGACAGTTGCGTCTGATCACTTGGACTGCGCCCACAGCTTGAAAGGGAGGTGTGATCGTGCAACTGCAGGTCAAATTCCTCCAGAAGAAATAGCCTCGCTTCCCCCCACCCCCCGTTTGTTCTGGTGTGTATGACTGCAACCCTAGTGTGTGACAGGCAGTGGAAGTGGGAGGATTAACATCAGGGAGATATTGTAAAGAAATCTTGTAAACGTGTTAATGTTTTTGTTGTGTCTTCACTCTATCAAATCCCATGTTAAGTTTGAGACCACTCCAGTGCGCTCTGGCAGGAAATGACCCGATTGTGGGTGGCTGGGGTATAAAAAAACAACGGGAGAGGCCTGAATAAGGGGGACTGGATATTCTTCAGTCCAGAAGGAAGTTGCCTCAGAGTAAAGGTGTCAAACTCATTTGTTACAATGTCACTTTGTTGGGCTGGGCCAAGTGTGCCATAAAATGTCATACCAGGTACCAGAGATACAAACTTTATAAGGACTCAGGCAAATCCAATTAACGATATTACTTTTTTACTCAAAATACAAACATGCTTAAAACTGTTAAGTATGCAACTCAACAACGAAGTAAGTACAAAGTGAATCAGCTTTATTTGAGAACGAGAACTTCCAAAGATCACACAGCATCAGACGACACGACAACAACAACAGTGGAGCATAGCTCCTTTTAAACTCTCCCAAGCTGGTGTAGCCATGCCCTTACAAAGTTAACATCCAATCATTGTTAAGATAACATCCAATCATTGGTCTTTTCTCCGGCACAGACTCTCACATTTCATTGGTTACATACATTGCTTCAGCCAATGGTATTGTTTCAGATTAGAATCTGGCTGAGGTCTTAAGCTTAACATAGGTTTAGATGGAGTGAATACACAACAATTCCTCCCCCCTAAGATGGAACAATACCCTGGCAAATGTAGTCCTTTAGATAGGGGGGGGGCATGCTGCGTTCGGCTTGAACTTTGCATAGGTTCTGGCGGTGTAACAACTTCAGGGGCCCTGGGTGGCTCACTGTCTAGTGAGTCTGGCTGGCTGGTTACCGAGGGGTCACTGTCCAGAGTAGGACTAAGTCTGCACTCTATTTCTAAGGGGGGCTCCGCAACACTCACCTCTGTGTCTGGAGACCCTCGCTGCTCGCCTTCTGGGTGAGGGATTGAGTCAGGCTCGGTGCTGGACTTGAGACTGGAGTCAGCCCACCTCTGCCTGAGCTGATCTATGTGGCGCCGCAATTCCCTGCCGTTTGCTAGCTGTGCCACATACATACGGGAATCCAGAACGTCGCTGATTATGGCGGGAAGCCATAAATGATCCTCAGCATAATTGCGCGCGCACACTTTGTCTCCCTGTTTGAAAGTGCGCGGCAATTCTTGGACCTCTGATCTGGGGGGGTCTACTCTCTGTTAGGTCTGGATGTAACCTGTCTAACAGAGTTGTTAGTCTGCGGCCCATTAGAAGCTCAACCGGGCTCCTTCCAGTTGCGGTGCAGGGTGTTATATGCTGCTGCAAAAGGAAAGAGGCTAGCTTCTGCCCCCAGTCCCTGGGACCCATCTTCTTTAGAGCCTCTTTCGTCGTCCGAACCATCTGTTCGGCCTGCCCATTTGTGGCTGGATGGAACGGAGCAGACGTTACATGTTTGATAACATTATCAGACAAGAATTTTTCAAATCCAACAGACATGAATTGAGGCCTGTTGTCTGATACCAGGACGTCGGGCAAACCATGGATTGCAAAGACCCGGCACAAAACATTTATCACAGCCATAGATGTAGTCGTTCACATATTAATTACTTCGAGCCATTTCGAGAATGCATCAACAATTATAAAAAACATTTGCCCTTGAAACGGGCCGGCAAACTCTACATGCAGCCTGGCCCAAGACTTGCTTGTAGTTTCCCAATGCTGAACCGGGGCTTGAGATGGGTCAGGTCTGGATTGCTGACAGACCATACAGTGCTGGACCCAGTCCTCGATGTCAGAGTCTATCTTTGGCCACCAGAGATAGCTCCTAGCCAGAGCTTTCATGTGGACTATGCCTGGATGGCCATCGTGGAGAGCCTCGTGGACATGCTCTCGCAGCTTGGGAGGCACCACCACTGGTTCCCCCATAACAAGCAACCCTTGGCGACCGACAGTTCGGTTTGCCTCGTGTGGTACGGTTTGAACTCCTGGTCCACTCTGCCTGCCGGCCACCCCCTCCAAACCCAGTTAAGGACACGGGAGAGGGTAGAGTCCTTAGCTGACACAGCAGCAATGTCCGAAGAGTGGACTGGAGGCTGAGGCAGTTCATCAATTGCCAGTATGTCAAAAGCTGGTGCCGGATCGGTGACCATTTGTGGCAGAGGGCAGCGACTAAGAGAGTCCGCATGTCCAATTGCCTTGCCAGGACGGTGCTCGAGGTCAAAGTCATAGGCTGCCAAAAACACAGGCCAACGCAACATGTGGGCCAAAATCATGTTTGGAGTCCCAGCGGCGGCTTGTGGTCCGTGACAAGGAGGAACCGGTGGCCATAAACAGTCATGGAATTTCTTTATTCCCGCCACCAAAGCCAGGCCCTCTTTGTCGATCTGGGCCTAGTGTTTTTCTGCGGCCGTTAGAGACCGCAAGTAGTAGGCGATTGGAGCCTCTTGCCCATCTGCCTTGACGTGGCTCAAAACCGCGCCAACCCCGTACAGGGAAGCATTGGCCGCCAAAACCAACATTTTATTTTTTAAAAAAATCATTGATTTTTATCCAACCTGGGAACAGCCAACCTCGGGGCTGGCAATGCCCCCAGGAAGATGATGATGGCTAGGAATAGTGGTTTCTGCCACTTCCAGCCCTAACATCAGCCCTTTGCCCTTAGTTACCCCAATAGGCGGGTTGGGGAAGTGCTGCACCAAGACCTGAAGAACCTGTAACCGATAAAGCTGTGGCCTGATTCTTCCCAGCACAGTATGTCTGTGTCGTCCTTCTCCCCCACCATGGGCCGGTCCCCACTCCAGGCACAAAGGGCTGTGCCATTAGATCGCAATTGTGACAGTCTATGCAGCCACCAGTGGAAGAGAATATGACTCAATGAACTTTAATCTCCTGACCCAGTAAAAAGGCACATATGCACAGGGTGGAGAGAGGCAGGGATTTAGGAAGGACCCTGGCAACAAGTTGTTCCTCCTTAGGGAAGTGAGTCTCCTATTCAGAAATCTATAGTTCTGAGCAGGGGTCGTTTCGTAGAAAAAGAGCTAGGGGAACTCATTAGCATACCTCATTAGCATATGCCACACCCCCTGACATCACCGGAAGTGTGTCATAAGGCCACACCCCCCGCCCCCAACGGTCCCAGCCGCCGGCGCCGGCCTTGCAGCTCCACTGCCGAGCCCCATGAGGGGCCC